AGACTTGAATTTGATGTTGGGACATAAACTCACTCAGTCTGATTAAGTCAGTACACCAACTAAATAGGAGAAGCGACCACTCCATTCTCCTGGGTCTGCCAGTCCAGTGTTCTTCACCAAGTAGACATAAAATTGGGACATTGTTTGTACAAAGCTTCAAGGGTTCTCTACTAAAGTAGTTATTTCTCAGTCCTTGCCTTACGGAACGATAGCTTAGCAAATTTAGCTGTTAGGACCTCTTTGATATTCTTGGACCTCAGGATGTGTTTTCTTAAAGAAAGCTACAGTGCTTGACTGCCCGGAATTGCTCGCTTGTGTAATAGCTCTCTTCTAGTCAGACTGAAGCCCCTGTTCATCCAGCTTGGGGCTGGCTGAAGGCGAGAGGACTCAAGATGTCTTGATCTGCCGTGCTTTCATCCAGCCAGATGTTTTCATTCTTTTTTTTTTTTCTATTTTCCATCCAGAGTACTCCTCAAATGAATCCTCAAGCGTCTTCCACGTCAACCAGATTTCATAGTCCAGTGGTGAACTCACCTCCCAGACCCAGCCTCATTTGAAGAGTGAGCCCTCCCTACCTGGCAAGATTCTAGAACTATTAGACTAGAGATTTTCCAGCTCTTTGTGAGGGTCTAACCTATGGCTAGAGCAGAGTCCTCTCATGTTCGGCGAAGCTGCCTTTGAGGCGACTGTGGGAATGAACTATGCTGGACCTGCTCCTCCTGTGCCCTCCTTTTTGGTGAACAGACTCTGCCAGAGGAGTCCCATCCCTCCCTCTCTTTGATGAGAGGAGGTGCGAGTTAAACCCACTCTACACAACATCTCCCCTTCTGGGAAAGGCTGCCTCCCAGATAATGTTGCTTAGCCATGCGTACAGGAACAGCAATGGGAAGAGAACATTTATCTCCTCAAGAGGAAGGTCTTCTTCCGTGGCTGTCCACTGAATTCGGGGACTAGAAGCCAGGCTCTGCCCAGGATGAATGAGTTGGAGCAGAGGGTGATTTCCAAGGCGTTTCATGGAGGAGCTATTCACTACACAGTCTCTACTTCTCAGTGTCCATACCTGTGAAGCCGAGATGACTGCATACCCCTGGCTGTGGCCCCTGCTTCTGTGGATGCTGACGGGGAAGGAATGCCAAGAGTTTGAAGCGAACCTGGGATCCATGTATATAGCGAGACTTTACTTCAAAACAAAAACCTACTTGCCAGTGTGGGGGAAGACTGCTTGAGGCGGTACAAATCATCTGACCCCGTGGCTGCTCAGTGAAAGCCAAGATCTTTGTTTCTTTGGGGTTGGGAGTGGGTGAGGGAGCCCGAGTGGGACAGCCCATTGACTGTCCATCTTCAGTCCACACTGCGATTCTCCTCCATACAGCTCTTCTAAAACTGTACTAAAGTATTTGGCCACAAAAAGAAAACAGCAGACATGCTCTGTTCCTATTTGCAGAAAAAGAAGCTAAATTATAACAGATAAAAAAAAAATGTCTATATTCTGTTTTTGGTAAGTGTTTTCCTTCCTAAACTTGTCATACATGGTGCAAGCATGATACAAGAATCAGTAGAACAGCAAACATTGACAACACCACTTTGGAACTTTGGACAAGTTACAACTGACCTCTCTGTCCATTTGGGGTTTTAATTGTGGCTCTGAGCTATTGAATTGACAATATATTTCTAAAACAATAGAAAAACCCTCTCTGTTTTGTGAGATATGATCACAGTTTATCCTAGAAGAAATCTTCAATATACGAAATACCATGTACATACAAGACACTGTTATTGTTAAATTTTTGTAATGGTTTCTCTACATGAATTTACTTAATTAGAATCTCCCAATTAACTGGCCTGTGTTCTATAAATACTACGACTATCTCTAAAATAAAGCATGTTGTTTTGGGTCAGTGCCTTTGGCTATAAACTGGTGTAATCTCAGAGAGCTTTTAAAAAGCAGTGTTTAGGTTCCTCCCCTCCCATTAAGAATCTGAAAACACGAGATTTTCAAAGCTCTGTAAGTTTTAACTTGGGACCAGAGTAGGGAACTGATGAGCTAGGCGATGTGAGGCTTGCCTCCCATAAGCAGTACCCATAGTACCTTCTGGGCACTCTGGTTTTCATCGTGAACCACAATGGATGTGGACCACAGAACCTGGACCTTCCCTCTCTGGGACAAAGTTATCTAAAAGGGGTTTGGGCCATTAAGTCAACTGTGTGATGGCCAAGCATCCAAGGCACCCTCACTTCGTAGTTAGCTGGCTAGTGAAAAGAACCACACAGGTAGGGAGGTGTTACCCACCTTAACACATGGTAAGTTCTAAGTTTTTATACAACAGCTCTTTTCCTTTTCTGGAATAGATCTTTTCTTTGCCCACTTCTTCAGCTTTGGTTTGATTTCCTGAACATCCATTTCCTCTGCTGGTGTCCTCACTTCTGTCCTATGCCTGATGGTGCATAGTGCTATTTTAGCAGCAGGCTGGCTGCTGTTACTACCTTGTCACACTTCCTGAGGGAGGTGGGTGAGCATGCCAGTCCAGGAGCTCATCAGATTCAATGCTTCTGCAGCTAGCAGAAGAGATGGACACTCACCTAGAACTGATGTCATCTTAGCTTCATCATGTAAACAGGACACCATCTTTGATAAGGCAATTTATGTTGGACACTTGCAAAAGCCATTTATTACCGTTAATCTCTGACACAGCCACCACACGTTTCTACCAGGATTATGACGCAGTATTTAGTTAACTCTTTTGTAGGCAAAGTGAAGTCACTTCCACTGCAGAACTGATGGATGTGTTGCCATAGCAGAACCGATGGATGCCTTACTTTTTCTTAAAACAACAAACTGTCTAAACACTGAAACGTGTACCTCATGCCCATATGAAGTCTGCTTTAGCTAGAGAAATCAAGATTACAACTGTCATCTCATTCTCCTCTTCAGATGCCAAGATGAGCAATCATGGCCATCCCATGCCAGGGCACTGTGGCCAGATGAGTTCATTTCTTACCTTTTACGGTAGAATAGACTCATTATGATTAAAGTGGCCCATCTAATTTGAACTGACCACTCCATTAATCTATGAAGAATGAGAAACATGTGGCATGGACTTTTATCACATTTAGAAGCAGAGAAGTGGAAGATGAAGGCTCAGACTCAGCAAGACAGCAAGGATCCTAGGCAACTCTAGAGGCAGGATCTGAATGCATGTGCCAGCTGTCTGGGACAGCACACACTGAGTGACTGCTGTCATTTATTGGTCATGAAAGAGGCCTTATAGCAGATGGAAAATGAATGGAAATTCCCAAAAGCAGAAGCAACTAATCTGCTATTAGTCAGGTAGTCTGTCATGAATACTTCTTGCATAGAGAACAGGTAGCTGTGACGACAAATGACTATGGAGCCCCTGAAGATGCCTGCTTATTTCAGCCTCACAGTATGGTGACCTACTTTTGTGTCTCCAAATTCTTAGTTCAGAAGTTTAGCCCAGTAGGTATCAGTAACATGCCCCGCATCTTCACAGAGGTATTTTCCCACAGATTTATTATCAAAACAGGATAGGAAATGCAAGCCCATTCTTCCTGAGGCATTTCCTGTCTAAGCAGTCTTCTAAAGTGGTGACACTTCAGCAAAGCAGATGACAAAACACAATTTTAACATCCTCCTACCAAGGGAAAGCTGATTAGGTGGTACCACAGCATGCTTTAGGAGACAATGTCACTGGGCTGATGCCTCATTTCTACTGTGACAGTGAGAAGCCATGTGTTACAATTGCTTCCACAATATCATTTCAGAGGCTCAGTCAATGATGCAGTCAGTAACCCCAGTGTGGCTTTTCCTCCTACACTGGCTTCTGTTGACCAGGCCAACAGTGCCTCCCTCTGCGATCAGGGCCTTACAAGGAAGGCATAGCATCCGTGCGATCAACAGATGCTCTCACTGTGACTAACATTCTTGTTCAAAGAGGGGCTCTTGTGACCACTCAGACTGGTGGAGTTTGTTGGTAATGAGACCCTCAGTGCCGACTTGGCTCCTGTGTGAGACTGTAAATCACAACACTCCTGACTCCAAAGAAAACATCTGGCCATAGCTGCATCTGTATCCCTATCACATACGAGGACATCATCTAATGCCATTCACCTAACCTGTGACAGTTGTAAATGTCATTCCCATAGGCTACCCCTCATCTGCACCTCAGTATTAAAGGCCTTACAGTGAACTACTACTGACATCTAGGTCCCCTTCCCTGTCCAGGGAGAAATGCTCTCAAAGAGTTCAGGCCATGACAACTGGTATCATCCAGTTACCCAAAACAGAGCCATTATGGAGACAGGCTAATCCACCTTAGATTTCAGCTTTGGCTGCCCTAACAGGGAGGACAGAGGTCCTATAAATCTATGGCTCATACTTATTCTAACTAAGCTAGTCCCCTTGACCAGTTGGTTCCCTTTTTGTTTTATTAGTAGACAGTCTGGCTGTGTAGCTCCAGCTGGCCTTGAACTCAAAACCACTACTTTCTTCAGCTTCTCTAGAGCTGGGATAAGGTATGTGCCGTGCTGGCTACTAGCTGGCCTTCCTGAGACTTCTGCAAGGCTCAGGACTAGCCCCTTATTACAGTTTAATAACCAGCACAAGTGTTGGTACAAATGGCTAATTGGAACGCAGTTTGGTTACAAGTATGATCCCCAATTTCAAGACAAAACTGAAATGGCATGCAGGGTTAACGCTCAAGTCAGGAGCCAAGTTCTGAGGAGTGAATTGCCCATATGCTCCCCATGCTCAGCAGCAGAGCCAACCAGTGGCTGCTCCAGACAGCAGGCTGTGCTGTCTCCACATCCACCCAGTCCTCATTGTAACATGCAGGTTTCTGTAATTGAGATTAAAAAAAAAAAATTCCTCATGCCATCAACTTTCTAAACTCTAAAAAGAATGTTATGTTTTTAAAGAAATGTTTTCTTTTATCCAACAGGAAGTAATGTAGTTCCCTTGGGTTCTGTTTCACAACCAGACATTGAGAGATAAATCTTTAATAAAAGTTTATAAAAACAAAAACAAGCCTGGGAAGTGTGTCTAAAGATGACACCTACAAACGGCAGGCATCTTGTTCCTCACAACTTGTCAATGTTAACAAACCCAGTCTATGTGGCTGTTAGTTTTTAATTCAATAACCTGCTAATCAGACTGAAGTGAGGGCTGAGTGACTCATTTGTGTCCTTTGATAAAAACGAGCATTCTCATGACTGAGCACAGGGAATACGATTCCCATTCCTGTTCTATTAGTGATCTGGTTCATCAAAGTGCACGGAGCAGAGTCCTGTCGCACCAGGGCATCAGGCAAAGGTGATGGAAGGTTCGCTGGGCTGCCACACGTTCTCATCGTACAGATCCTCTGGAAGTTCTTCTTCATCTCCATCAGGAAAGTAGGTAGGGAACGGCAGGCTCTTACAGAAATCCTTGTATGCAGGCAGCGTAGAGTCTTTGATCTGAGAGAATAAGGAAAAATAAAATCTCACTCCACTATCAATCTTGGTATGTATGTAAAGGGACCACTGACAAGAGTCTCTGTTCTACACGTCTGAACATGAATGCAGCCACTCTACAGAGAGGCGAGAATGGGGTCTCCCGCTATATTTCTTGTTGTGGGAAAATATTAGAAAGGAACTCTAGGCATTCTGATTAATCGTTCTTCCTCAATTGAATCAGCTACCCACAAGAATAAAACCACTGATTATCTCTGTATACTTTACTGTGACTTGGAAGCATGTATTTAATTGTCCAATAGGATGGATATTTTAAAATTACATCTCAAGTATCTTTTATATGCATATTTATTTTTCAAGTATAAAGGTTTGATACGCCGGGCAGTGGTGGTGCACGCCTTTAATCCCAGCACTTGGGAGGCAGAGGCAGATGGATTTCTGAGTTTGAGGCCAGCCTGGTCTACAGAGTGAGTTCCAGGACAGCCAGGGCTACACAGAGACACCCTGTCTTGAAAAACCAAAAAAAAAAAAAAAAAAAAAAAAACCAACAAAACAAAACAAGAAGGTTTGATACTTAATACAATTAATACCTGATAATTACCCATTTTATTATTTACTCTTTTTGCCTGATTTGTTACTTTGTTTTCTATACTTAGAACAAAATTTTGGAGGCTGAGGCTTAAAAACATGATATTATTTCTGTTAATTTTAAGTCTAAGAACACAAAAAGGGAAATACTGCTTTTATTAAAGAAATTAGCTTATATTTGGCAAGGAGCATTCTAACTGAGAAGGTAAAGACAGAATGACAATCAGCAAAAACAAGAGAAAGAAACCTACAAGTGTTAATAGAAGCTCTGAGAACATTTTATGGCCTAAAACCTTTCAGATTATGTGGGGATTCACAGCAGATGTCCCTTAGCAGAGGTGCTGAAAAGATCCAAGATGCTGTACTTTAGTTTTGGACAATATGATTGGGATCCTCAAAGCTTCTGTGGCCTCATTCAGAGAGAAAAATACACTTATATATGCAATAAAATAGGGCATGTTCATTTTAGCAATGAGAAATAAATAACTTAGTCAAAACTAGCCAGCAGCTGCTAGGAACAACTAAGTACATAAAAAGAGTTCTATGTTAGTGCCCTCATTAGAGCTGTTCCGGGAAGTGACCAGGACGTTGCCCAGAAGGGAACCATCATGTTCAGTTTTCCCCAACGCACCAACCTTAGGCTCAACTTTAATTAGGAAAATACCTTATAAGAAAACTCTGAGCTAATTTGATAAAATCATCACCAGAATCCAAGTGGTGAATTCTCATTACGCTTACACTTTTATGTATCGACTGTACCTGAGGGTTTCCAATAACAAAACTATTGATGATGTTTCTAGTATAAGTGAGTATATGTAATGCAACATACAGTAAAACTGTGGTTTCTATTTGCTGTTGTTGGAGCGTCAGCAACGGGCTCACTTTAGCTGTAGAGCCCACTTCCACAGCAGATCCTCGGAAACTCCCAGGCTTTACCTCAGTCTATCTGGTCAACATGTTAGTTTTATTTCCTTTTTTCCTTTCTTTTTAGTTTTGACAGGATAGGAGGTATTTGGGGAGGCAGGTGCGACTAAGCGGCGTGGCAGTGAAACCCCGGCCCCCACTTCAGCACTTCTTGTCCTTTTGCCCACATTTCTGGAAGGACAGAGGAGAAGTGACATTTGGCAATGGCTCCTCTCTCCCTGAAGCCTCTCCGACAGACCCTTGCATTCATGGCTTCAGTGTGTGGCTCATTATTTATAGTGTGTTTTTTGTTTTCACTGAGGTGCTACTACAAAGAAAACTGGGGTAAGAGGACATGTGGTGGAAACAGACACTTCTTTAGAAGCTACGTAATAGAGCAAAGAGAATTCATGGAAGATATCCAGAGTAACAAGGAGTAGAAATTACAGTTGTACATACCTTTACTAAGCAATTTTTATGTCCAGGCACAGAGCCATTGACATAGATTATGTTGTGCTTGGTGTTCACTCTCCACACCTGCAACAAGAAGCAAACAACTTATGAGGTGAAGGCACCAGGAACTAGGAGATATAAGAGCTCTGTAGTTGAGCACACGAGCACGGAAGGCCACACAGAGGCTGAAAGGCTTTCAGCCCCGTGTCAGTGACTAGTAAGGGTATTCCTGCACCTTACTGCATGAGTGTGGCAGCTGACGACAACTTCAGCTCCATGGAATCAGCTAACCCTGAGAAAGACGTGTAAATTCAGTTCTAGTTTGGTTACTATTACTTTTCTATAACTAGCCACTGGGAATTCGCAACTCACTGAATCTCATCTCTAAATTAAGCAGGCTAAGCAGACTGCCTTTAAAAACATCTCAATATGGAGCAAAACAAACACACAAGTGGAAAGTAATAGTCAAAAATAAAATAAAATAAAATAAAATAAAATAAAATAAAATAAAATAAAATAAAATATAAAATAGAGTAAGAAAATAAATGCCACAAGAAAACCGTGGCAAGCAGACGGACTTTACTAAGGTAAAATAGTAATGGTGGGAAACAGACTTAGATTTATCTCATAACTGACTTCAGGGTTGACCTGACTGGGTTGAGGGATATGGAGTTCTGGTATGCCTGTGAGGGAGTTTCAGTGTGGACTTTTACTCAGTCAGTGACTCCCATCCAATCAGGGGCCCAGAATAAATGAAAGCGGCAGGCAGAGAGAAGTATTTCCTCTCTGTCCTGGAAATCTGTCCCAGTCATCTCAACTCCAAGCTCCCTGCACCTTGGAGCCAGTGCCCGTCCATGTGTCTGCTTCAGTCTTAGGACTTGTGCTTCAGACTGAGAACTCCCATAACTGGGCCTTCTGCTTGAGGTTTGGAATGAGTCAGGGCTCCAGGCACTGCAGGGCTCCAGCCTTCAGGCAGCCCACAGTGGGATTTCTCAGCCCTCATATAACCACAGAAGGAATCCTAGAACTATCCTTTCATGTATCCATCAGAGTGACCGCTCAGTCAAGCATCCACCCACTCATTCAAATAGACTGTCCCCCCTATACATAAAATGTATGGATAAAGATGGAACAACCACACACAACATCAGTGACCATTTCTGGTTGTTGTTGCTATGGTGGCTTATTTTGTTCTTTCTATGCTTTGAGCTATATATACGCAAATATACACATACATATTTGTTGTTTTAATGAAAGTACAAGCATATTGTACCGCATTACAATAAAAATTGTTTTTGTTTAGTTACTGAAGACTTTCTCAAATTAGCAGATTAAATGTGAATTTCTCTTTACACACACACACACACACACACACACACACACACACACACTTTATAAAAGTCCATGCACCACAATGAAGTATTCTTCCCCCGCTACTGGGACTGCCTCTCCTCTCCTTTCCTCCATCTACCTCACTCACACTTGACAGAGACTCCAAGACAGGCAGCCATGCACCCCCAGCTTCTCTGGGAAATACAGAATATACAGAAACAAAGTCTGGGAGGACTGTTCCCCTATCTCCCTCAAGGAGCGTGTACAGTTAATGCTTGGAATCTTTTCCCCAATGCAATATCTTACAAAAACATTCCAGTTTAAATACAGCTGCCTACTTTTTCCTAACAACTGTGTATTTCTTGGCTAAGGTGTGAACTATAATTATGCACATTATAGTACAACTCATTTCATTTCTCTTGAATGACTCTAATTCTACATCTACAAGTCAACCCCATAGCCTACATCTTTACAGTCAAAAGCATCCTTGTTCAGGACACAGACACACACAGACACACACAGACAGACACACACACACAAACACACACACACACACACACACAAACACACACACACACACACACACACACACACACACACACACACACACAGTGCACACTCTGGTCTCTGCATGTGAACTTACATTAGCACTTTACAGACTTACTTTCAGTCCATACACTGTCCTGTCTTTGTTTCCCATCTGCCCGGGCATTTTAGTTCCAGGCCAGACTCTGGCAATATCCTGAATAACAAAAGACAAAGTTCACATTTTCAGTCATTTTGATTCCAAGGATGTACAAAGCACATTGGTCCCCTCTACTGCTAGTACTCTCTGAATAGTTAATTTGCAATTTGACTTGAAAACAGATGTACATCCAGCTCCTCTGAAGCTTCTACCATTGATTTGTATCCACTGAAAATGCTGGCAGAACTCATCATCTATGACGTCACCAAGCAGCAAGGTGTCATCACTCTGTCTATAGGGATTAGCCAGCTGTCAGGAAGAACATTCCATTTTGTTCTCTTTCTTATATACTCACAGATGCAATTCATTTACATGAGTAGGAACCCCTTCTCTTGGGAGGTGTGTGTGTGTGTGTGTGTGTGTGTGTAGGAGTTGTTATTGCTTGTTTCTGAGAGAAGGCTATAAAGCTCAAACTGGCCTTGAACTCTTGATCCTCTTGCCTCAGCTTCTGTATTCCATGAATTTTCAGTTGTAAGCCACCGTTGTCTCATTTCTGCTAGAGTCCTGCACTATCTGGGCTAACCTGGGCTACAAAATGAGACCCAGCCTACCTCCCACCTCCCTTGGTGAGCCCCACTATTTATACTCACCCCAGTTGAGATGGCACCAGGTCTCCTGTGGGTCTTTGTTTGACCGTGAGAAGCAGGTTGGCCTTTAAATCCCCATCTTTTCATGACGCCCTGAAAACCTTTACCAATACTGGGGGAAAAAAGTTAGAATTTACATAATGAATGGAGTATAAAATATTTCTGACTCTACTTTTTTGACAGCACCTTGGAGTTCTAACAAGACTTCTTATCTAAATAACCAGAAAAGGCCATACCAGCCAAACTGCAAATGAACGTTTCTTTATCTGTCTTGGCTTGTACCTCCCGCTGGAGCCTAGCTCTGTATAAAATGTTATGTCAAGACTTTAAGACAACAGCAAGCTAAGCTTGGGGAATTTACTTATGAAGTTCATCCTCAAAATCTAGTGATATGATGGCAAGGCTCTAGAAGTTTCAGTCTCATAACAAACGTGGCAGGCAGCCGTCAGGACGGACCCTAAAGACTCCATCCCCTAGTACTCACACTGTGCTTAATCCTCTTCCAGGAGCCTGGGACGGATTCGGTCTAATGAATACAATATGCTAAGAGATAAGTTGTCACCGTGAGGCTTGGTTATAAGAGACCCTCCTCTGGTACTCTTTTCTTGTTTCCTAGACTCTACAAGAACCAGCTTTCAGTATAAAAGCATTCCTATGGAGCACAACGCAACACGATTTGTTCCAGTCAACAGCTGAGGCCCTGCTGCTGCCAACAGCCATGGTAATAAGCTCGGAGGCAATTTTTTCTTTGTCAGGGCCCAATGTGACTGGAGCCTGTGAGAGACCCTGAGCTAGATACAGTCGGGCAAGTGTGCTGAATTTCTAACCAGACACTGAGGTTGCAAGGATTGGTTTACTTCAGCAACTGTGTGAGGGCAACAAGTCAGAAAGCAACGGCTAGCGCACAGAAAAACCTCTAGATGCTGGGCAAGTAGCTTTGGACATTACCAGATGGATCCTGACCCGCGCTGAATAGGAAGCTAGTAGAAAAGCAGAAGTAGAGAAAGGCAGTTTCCTAATAACCTAAATATTGATTTTAAATGAACACGCTTTGTTGCAGAATCTGTTAGATAGAAAAACAAGCTACCACCACCAAGTTCAAACATTTCATTAAAGGCTATCTCTGAATGTCAAGTGCATCCTTACAAATAATCCTGTGCAGGACCAGGGGACTTGTAGATCTACTACAGACATCATCTATGTGCTCTTAAAAGTGCAGATTTTCTTCACCTTTCACTAGACAATAGCAATATAACTTAATGTAATATCGTGTAGTTTCAACAAAGCTAGTTATGATTAGATGTGCACTGTTGAGGTCAATTACAGCACAGCATGAAAAGATTGCTATCCCCCAGAACTTTGGTATGTAGTTATTCAGAAAGAATTATCAGACAGGATGGACCAAAGAAAGCCCCTTGAATAAGTTTTAGATAAATCAAGAACTTAACATAAAACCAACTCTAAGTGATAAATAGAACCCATCAGAAATGTACTCTCAAATCACACCCTAACTTGTTAATAAGTTAAATTAGCATACACCTCTTTCTGCTAGCATATATTTTCTCATTCCTCAATAACTAAAAAAAAAGGGGGGGGCATTCTTATCACCATGCTAAAATAGAAATGTAACATATATTCAATGGAAAAATATCTGCATAGTTTTATAGAGAGTTGAACATCAAATAGAAGCTATGAAAATCAAATACTGAAATCATGTGTCAGAAATTATTAATATTTACACTTAACAATGAAATTTTGGGCATACTTGCAAAGTAATGTAAAAAGCTTAGCAATTAAAAAATGAAGAGAAGGCCGGGCAGTGTTGGCACACGCCTTTAATCCCAGCACTTGGGAGACAGAGGCAGGCGGATTTCTGAGTTCGAGGCCAGCCTGGTCTACAGAGTGAGTTCCAGGACAGCCAGGGCTATACAGAGAAACCCTGTCTCGAAAAACCAAAAAAAAAAAAAAAAAAAAAAAAAAAAATAACTCAAGAGTAATTTAGAAGTCTTCCATCATTTAGCAAGTAGCGCCTAAGAGCAGAAGAGTGGTACCAGCAGGGCCATCTTGAAGGAGCATACTTTAAAAATACCTTCCTTTGCACGCTGGCTGCCTTTTGTAGAAGTTCACTACTGCCTTCAGAGTTCTCAAACTGATTATCTGCCTTAAAAAGTCAGCGTGAGTGCATGCACCAGAAAAAACACAAGCAGGTAAATTACAGAAGATAATTGAGCTCATTTCAGAGTAAATGATTACAAAATGAAAGCGGTACCCTGAAAGTGCTAATTATGTGTCAGCTAATTGCAGACTGTTTTTCAGTCTGGGTCTGGAACACTTCATGAGTCCCACTGTGTACAACGGGAACCTCTTCAGTAAATAACCTTTAAACAAAAGGCGAAAACACAAGACACGGCAATTATGGGCTTAATTTTGGATGTGGAGGCCACGGTGCACCTGTTGATCACGGGAGGCACAGGTAGCCAGTGTCTCACTTCTCCCAGCTGCTATCCAGCTTGAACAAAAGTAAAACAGGAACAAGGAATGAACTAATCTTTGCTTAGCATAAATCATAGGAAAAAAAACAAACCAAAACCAAAACCAAAACAAAACAAAAAACTACACCCAACACAGATACCTAGCTCCTCTCCCTTCACCCACAGTGGGGTTTTTTGCTTGCCTGCTTGTTTGTCTGAAGCAGGGTTTTGTGCGATTGTCCTGGCTGGCCTATAGCATACTGTCTCACTCAGGCTGGCTTTGCAGGTGTGCACCACTCTTTCTAGCTATCCAATGTAGCTTAACTAATGGCTGCAGAAATAAATCAAATGAAAATCCAAGCCAGGGAGAATGCAATTTTAGACATTCCAACATTAGTAAGGCTTATCTGAAAATGAGGACAACAAAAATGAATTTATTTAGATACTTTGTTTAAAAAGTGTCACTTAACTTAGAAGACTACTGCCATTGTTCTCCATATGGGCTGCATACAGGGCAGAGACCACGCCTTATTTAACCCACTGCCCAGCCTAAAGAAGTGAGCCTAATGCCCATCACTGCCACTGTAATGTCGTGGGAAAAAAGGAAAAGGGAAAGAAGGTTTAGAGCAGTGTTTTTCACCCTGTGAGTCCCGACGCCTGGGAGTCACACAAACCTTTCACAGGGGTCACACATCAGATATCCTGCATATCAAATGTTTACATTATGATCAATATCAGTAGCAAAATTACAGTTATGAAGCACAATGAAAATAATTTCATGGCTGGGGGCCACCATAACATGAGGAATGTGTTAAAGGACTGCAGCGTTAGGGAGGTCCAGAACACTGATCTGGAGGCTTGCATTAGTAACCGTAAACCCTTCCAGAAGGAAATGGGTAATTTACCATTTCCCAATCCATCCTATTATCTCTAGAGGTCACTAGAATTTCACCTCCTTGTCATACCATGACAAATGCCCAAATATTGACAACATACATAGTTTTAAAACAAATCAACAGATACTTCTTTACACTATATGGCAATATTTCTAACACTTGTACCTGGGGACAAACATCTCTGAGGTGAGGAGAGACTACATAGCTGCTCGGAGCCATCTTTGCCCAGTTCTCTAAGGATACCTCTACAATCCCGACCTCCAAGTCCTGTCCTTTCCACTGGCTTCTGTGACATCCTTTTCTGTCTTCTCTTGTCTCATCAAACTTACCACTTGCCTCTGCAATCTATTTTCTTCTTCAATTAGTCTCTGAGAATTACTCTGAGATTACTCTAATCCAAAAATGCAAACGTATTTTAGTAAAATAATTTACATTATGGAAATCATACTGAAGAGCAGAGACTAAGGAAGCCTGGGCATCCACCACTGCCCCCACTGTCTCCAGGCCTGCCTGTGTATCTTGTTTCTCTTGCTCTGCAGCTCCAGTAGGGTACTCAGGGTACTGAAAAACCATCTCCATCAAGAATACTGTAATATGAAAAGCTAAGGACATCTTTAAACTACAAAACCACAATATGGTTACCACAGTCTTTAATAACTGAATGACTCCTTAATATCAAACATGCAGCCAGTATTCAGAGGCCCATGCCTTCCTTTCACACAGCTGTCCTCTGAACCTCTCTGGAGTCTCCCTACCCCTCTGGCACCAATGCTCACCTTGTGGTTTCCTCCCTAATGCCTCATATACAGGCACTCTGAGCATTTTGCTTCTGCTTCTCTTCTTCCTATTGTCTAACTCACAGACAGGCACGTTAGCATGCACTGAGCACCTGCTTTTGTGAGTAGTGTTATTGGGGTATAGAAATGTGCATTCAGGCTGGGCAGTGGTGATGCATGCCTTTAGTCCTTTAATCCCAGCACTTGGGAGACAGAAACAGATGAATTTGTAAGTTTAAGGCCAGCCTTGTTAACAGAGTGAGTTCCTGGAGAGCCAAGACTACACAGAGAAAGCCAGAAGTCATCTTTTGGGGCTGGAGAGTTAGCTCAGTGGTAAGAGCACCAGCTGCTCTTCCAAAGGACCTGGGTTCAATTCCTAGCCCCCACATGCTAGCTCACACCCACCTGTAATCCAGCTCCAAGTGATTTGCTACCCTCATACATGCAGACAAAACACCAAAATAATATAAACCATTAAAATAAACAAATTTTAAAATGTACATTCATTTGCATGTTGACTATGTCTGTCTTAGAGCTACTGTGTCCAAAGATGTTTGATGTATTAGAACTCTCAATGAGGTCATGCTTTCTACTCCCCTCTCACAGTACATCTTACTGAGGGTGGGACTTGCCTTTTAAACTCTAAACAGGAAGCAGCTGATAACATGGCAAGGGCAGCCAATGGTCCTGGGCAGGTAGGTCTCAGTGCCAGCCTCCAGCCAAGTGCTGGAAGCCCTTCTGCTACAGATAAAGTAATAAAAGCTAAGGAACTTGCCTTGGTCACAGCTGTCTGAGCCATGACTTTCAGCTGGGACCTAGGTGACCGGTTACTTAGTAACCCCCAACCTTGGGTTGGTTGCTTGGTACATTTAGGAAAACAATCATCAATTACCACTAAGCTTTGTTTAAACAACAAACCAAGACCCAACCCTAAAATACTTCCTCTCAAACTATCCTTCATCTAGAAACAACCATTCACTTTAAGGTTTAGTTTTGAGAGATTATCTCTTCATAATCTAACCACTCCTTGTTTCATTATAATTTACTGCTCCGAATAGAAAGTAAATTAAATTAAAAAAAAAAAGTAGAAATGGAGGACAAAGTAGAAAAGTCTGTCCCCACATCAGTCATAGGAGAAAGAACATGGGACACAGAACCTATACCCAAAATGCAATGCTTCCATTCATAATTCATGGGGAAAACAATTCTCTCATGGGCTCCAAAGAACTTAAATTCAAAACAGGAAGTGCCCTCCAAATGAGAAGCATCGAGGGACATACACTAAAGAACTTAAAGGAAAAAAAGAAAAACAAGCCTATGCATGTGGGCTGTCCAGATACCCCACAGCCCAGGAAGTCAGCGTCAGGGAAAAGCTGCACAGCTAAGGAGCCAACAATGCACTCAGGAGTTCAAACCAAGTTTCATGCACACACAATCAGTTTACTGGCTTTAAAAGCTAGGGGGACAGCAGTAACATGCTAGCTAGAAGCAGTATGGTCCCTGGAAATACTCAACACAAAATTACATGAAATCCAATTCAAGCTGGTGCCAGGGAAGTCAGTCTACATGAAGACACACAGACAAGCATACAGTGAGCTCCCACAGGGCAGCCTGCCCACCTCTTATATTGAAGTTACTCGAATGCTGTACTGCAGGAAGGACCTCCTCTGTGTGGTCTGCTTTCTTCCAGACTGACCATCACTGCTTTAGTCCTAAGGACACTATTTTTCTAATGTTTATTTGCTACTGACCCTGGAGGCTGCCACATAACTTCAAATCATGGTTTTCTAGAAACAGAACCTTATAAAACCAAAACCAAACAAAAAACACCCCCCACCTTTACTCTATAACCAAGAAGACTGGAATTATCAAAAGGGGGAAAACCAAAGACACTCGACAGCTCAACAGTAGCATATGAACCATGAGCACCCACTGAGTGAGCACAGGCTTGGAAAAGCTAAGCTCTACACCAAGCCAGTCACAAGCCTGGCCACAAGTCACCTGCTGACCAAGGCATGTGACTCTGCATGACTTCTCAGAGTATCCTGTATGTCCTGCAAGATATGTAATGGAATTCACACAGCACTGTATATAAGGATTAATGCATGGCATCTTATGATTTATAATAACTCATAAACTTAAAAGTAAAACAATCTGGTTTGTAACCCAGAGTCTTCACTGGCTAACTAACAAAGCTCAGAAAAGCTGAAGAACAAGAGACAAGAAAGAAATGTTACTGGCTTCAGTAATGAGGGGAGAACAAAAGGGACAGGCTGAGAATCCCCTAAAGACTCTTCTTACTGCCAATCTATCCCACTGCACTTCTACAAAGCTGAACAAAGAGAAAGGCAGCATTGGCAGTGGCCTGTGTCTGACACGAGGTGGTCATGGTGTGGAAACGAATCTACCCAATTGCCATCAGGAACCTATATACTGTATTGGTAAGGAACCTAAGGCAGCAGTCATCAGATTCTTGGGATAAAAACTGCTGTTTGGTCAGCATCTCAAAATAAATGCAAACAAACTGCCCTCTCCCAGAATCCACAAACACCTTTATCTGTTGAAGGCTCTTGGTACTGATATCTTTGTAGGCACTGTCATGTGACTAAGAGGAGAAAAGAAACACAGAAGACTGAAGTCAGGATCCATGTTGGGAGAAGAAAACAAAGCAACTGGTGCTTTAATTCTGGCTGTTCTAGGTTGTGTGAGTTCCACCAGCCAGCAGAATCCAGTTTGCAAGCATCTCCAGACTTGAGTACTCCGCAGTACTGAGCAGTAACTTCTCTAACATCCGAAGAGCTCCTGGAGTCATAGAGACACGGCTACACCCTGTGCAGAAGTGGTTAAAGTATCCAGAATACCAGTCCAGACTAGATGAACCATAGTCAGCATTTAGTCAGTGGCAGTTAGCCATCACCTCTACACTAGACCCTTGAAAGTAAAAGGGTTTCTTCCCTTTACAGCAGAGTCTTACTACCTCACACTAAAAGTCCCAACAGCATGCTTAGTTTCTGATAAGATGATTGCAAACATGTTTTACAGTTACAGTAAGAATTAAACACTACAACCACTTTTACAAATAGTATAAAATCTTACAAATCCCAGTGATTAGAAAGAGTACCTCAAACCAAACTCCAGTTATCACAGGAGTCTTCCACCACCACTGCTCAGCTGTGTTTCACAGTGAAGCCGTGCGTCTTGGTCTTTAAAGCGACCTAACTGGGAAAGCACTTAAGTCACGTGGTCTTCCTCTGTGCCCCATTTCTGGAAGCACACATCTTAGTTCATCTCATGTACACTCTTTATATGAAACTAGTAGTCAGTGACTTTACAGACAGACTTATGGGAGCAGTTTGTCTAACTTCAGAGACTGTAGTTTCACCCACTCTGTCCTTTAACATGTGGAGAAAAGCAAAGCAAAGGAGAACCTCTGAGGACCTACGTTTTGGCTGTGACATCCACATACTGTCCAGGGCGAAAGTGAGCAGCATAAAGAGGGGTCCCTGTATGAAAAAGAAATGAGAAATCGACGTTATCTGTCAGCAACAGGAAGGACTTTATCCACAGATACTTGGCCCACATAGCTCTCAGCAGGCTTTTAAATGCTCACAGATCTTCAGCAATTAGCAACATCAGAGACACCCAAATACTGAAGCCATCTGCAAACAGGTCCTAGTTAACAATGAGAAGGCTGAAGAACAAGGGGACCCCGTTCAAGGAGCATGGTGCTCCAGTGAGCCTCCAGACTATACCTGCCAGACCAGCACCTTCATGGAGCTTATGTGGTGCTGGTCTAAATGAGTGAGTCCTGTAGCAATTACAGTCCCCTTGCTGGCAAGCAAAGTTCAATGATTCCTGGTTGTTTCAGTAAATAGGTATGCTGAATTAAAGCATATGATCCACTTACATAAGGGGAAAAGAAAGAACATGACAAGAACTACGATGACAGCTGAGGTTTGATGCGGTCTTTCATCACCCTGTGGACAAGGAAATGTCCTAACCTGACTTGGTCTCTCCTCGGCTGGGTATGGATTATGGGTATCTATTCACAGAGTATCTGCTCCCATCAGATTACTTCTGCTCTAGGCACAACACTCATCAAGTCTCTCTCCCCTAGCACTTTCTTAGGTCTCTGGATTAGACAAAACCTGCCCTTACAGGTACTCAACACTTGTAAGGCTCAGCCCTGACTGACCTCACAAAAATTGTTATCTTGGGTAAGAGTCAACACTATATCACCAATTAAGAGCCCTTAAAAAAAAAAATGAAAAAAATGAGGGACCAATGTAGCTGAGAACAAAATGGAAAGTGGGTTTTATTTAATTAGTACAAAGAGTGGGGTTCAGTGGAGTTTAAGAGAGCAGTTTCTTTAATGTAAGAATAATCTAGGTTTGTAAAGGAAAAGGGACTTCAATAAGGACTTCATTCTATGTATGTCAAAATATCATATTATACTCTATAAATAAAGAGGATCTGTCCATCAAAAATAATAATTAAAAAAAAGAAAAAGTAAGAGTAAAAAAAGAGAACTCGTTTTTGCAAGGCTGAACAACTCAAACTGCAATGTGACCATCACTGACTCACAGAAATGTAATTTAGTATGGTTAGAATTACAGCAAAAATTAACATGGACTTGACTTTGCTAACTATCCTAAACATGAAGAGAGGGCTTAGACAATTAAGTCTGCTAATATCAAAGTGTATACTTAACTTTTCTTCAGAACAAAGTATTTCAGAACAATTCCTTTATATTTCAAGTGGAATACTGTTACAAGTCAGACCAATATACAATGATGCAAGACTTATACTAATTTTATAAGTCAAAGTTATTTTACCTTCAAGTTAGAAATTTAAACTTAAAAAATTTCACTGTCTTTTTGTTGCAATGCAAGTTCAAATACTAAGGAGCTCTCTTGAAGGTAAAACATCAAGATGTTCTATTTGTTAACCACAGGAATCAGTATAATTACATGCCAATCCTTAACTTGCCATTCCATGAAGAGGGAGATAACTCTCTCAGGGGCCGTGTTTGCTGTTCTCTTTTTGAAGCTGCACTTCTCTCTTCAGGGAGAGTACTGCTCCTAGCAGAGTCCTAGCCTGCAACCATGAACATGTTTTGAAGCTAAAGTACTTACTTGGAGAGGCTCTTTATAAATGTGACACTCCCCACATTTGGATTAGAGTTCCTCCCTCTCAGGGAAAACAAAGAGGATCCTACAGCTTTCCCCACTTAGCAGAGATAAAAACTGTTTGTTCCTAGTGATTAAATCAGATAGGTTTTATATTTAAAAATACGTGTTTGGGACTTTGTGTTTTGCTTAGCTTTATTGAAAGGGTTGACATTAAACAAATTGCATATTTGGTATTTTTACCTCCCTCCTCTCCCGACCTCAGATTACCTGGCTTAATTACAGCATTATCTGTTACATGAAAGATTTTAATTTTCTGTTTTGGTGGCAATCCAAGATCTCGGTAAAATTCCAATATAGAGTCAGATTTCTAGAGGGAAAACAGCACAAGTAAGTAATGCATTAAACAACACGAGTGACTTGAACGCAGGGCCCCAAGTCAAGTTATATAAACACAGAAAGTAAATATCAAAGCATAGTCTATTCCCTACTGCACCAAGGACATCTAATTTCCACTGTTTAAGGGAGATGACATTATATCTAAACTAATTATACACCTAAGAACAAATCATCTTACTGCTTAGGATCCAGCCATGTGCACAAGTCTCAGAATGTACGCCCTTGTCCTTGCTTGTTTGAAAGCACACTTACACTAGCCTCAGGTGACTACTTTGTCTTCACTAGTCACCTCTTTCATAGGGCTTTTCCAATAAACTTTTAGATGAGCTGGTTACTCAGGCCTCCTGATTTGCTGTCCAAAAGACCATTTTTTGTCAGCCTATTTTTTCTTATTCCTTAGACCATTTATCTGCATCCATAGTGATACACATTACACAGTCTTTTTTATCGCTAAATCATCTATACCTGCAGCTCAGTGGACTGTATTCTGAACACTGAGAACACTGCTGCTCTAATGGGGCTGCGCAGGGAACACTGCTGCTCTCTGCCCTTCCCCTTCTCACTTGCTGAAAACTCCTACACCTCTATCTCACCTTCCTTCCCTCACATCTCACTTCTACCAGAGCAAAGACGCTTTCCATACAAGTGTCTGCTCCTTGACATTATTTTCCTTGTGTTTCAAATTCAAATGTATTTCATTCAAAAGTTTTCAACTTTGCTTCTGACATTCACGTAGTTCAGTTGATTTATAAAGCACAAAATTATTTTGTTAATATTAAACTTAAAGTGTTCCAAGGAACTTCTGAGAAGAAATCGTTTTGGTGCAAAATAGCTAAAATGAACATCACAGCCTACATTAACACTAGACTCCAGCATAAAATGAATTAAGACAACATATATCTGAATTTCACTTTAGTTTCACTAAAATTGAATAACTGTTTCAACTAAAATCACTATATTCTAAAATGAGGTCTTAGTCATGAGAAAAGCCAATGCTCAGGTAAAGCTGACAGCAGCCGTCGCTAACAGTCTGCTCAGCCCTGCCCCTTCCCTTCTAAACTTCCAAATAAATGATTCAAACGGCAATTTAGAGGCTGACAGCACTGTCACACGTGGGCAGCCCCGTCCATGAAGCTGAGTCTCCTTCTGCAGAATTCCTCAGCAACTATCCTTCCTACAATGAAAGCATGCTCTGCTCCCAAGATGAACTGATTTAATCAACTTTTAGGGCCATTTATTGTTCTTTTTATTTTTTTATCTTTGTTTATTTATTTATTATTTTTTATTGGATGTTTTATTTACACTTCATATGTTGTCCCCTTACCACATCCCCCACCCACACAGGAACCCCCTATGCCCTCACCCCTCCTCTTCCTTCTCTGTGGATGTAACCCCTACCTACCCCCCCACTCCCATTTCCCCACCCTCAAATTCCCACCCCCTGGGGCGTCCAGCCTTCATGAGGTCAAGGATCTCTTCTTCCACCTATGCCCAGCAGGGCCCTCCAATCTTACGTATACAGCTGAAGCCCTGGATCCCTCCCTAAGTGCTCCCAGGCTGGTGGTTTAGACCCTGGGAGCTGTGGTTGGTTGGTATTGTTGCTCTCCTCATGGGGCCACAAACCCTTTCAGCTCCAATGGTCTTCACTCTAACTCCTCCATTGGGAACCCCATGATCAGTTCAATGGCTAGTTGTGAGCATCTGCCTCTGAATATGTCAGACTCTTGCAGACCTCTGAGGAGACATCTATATCAGGCTCTTATCAGCATGCACTTCCTGACTTCCACATCAGCATCTACTTTTGGTGACTGCACATGGGATGGATACTCAGGTGGAATGGTCTTCAGATGGCCCCTCCTTCAATTTCTGTCCCTCACTTTGTCTCCATATTTGCTCCCTTGAGTATTTTGTTGCTCCTTCTAAGAAGGACCAAATCACCCCCACTTGGTCTTCCTTCTTTATGAGCTTCATGTGGCCTGTGAGTTGAATCTTGGGCATTTCAAGGTTCTGGGCTAATATCCAATAATCAGTGAGTGAATACCATGTGTGTTTTTTTGTGACTGGCTTACCTCACTCAGGATGATATTTTCTAGTTCCACCCATTTACCTAGGAAATTCTCGAATTCATTGTTTTTAATAGCTGAGTAATACTCCATTGTGTAAATGTACCACATTTTTTGAATCCATTCCTCAGTTGAAGGACATCTGGGTTCTTTCTAGCTCCTGGCTATTATAAATAAGGCTGCTATGAACATAGTTGAGCATCTTCTGGGTATATGCCTAGGAGTGGTATAGCTGGATCCTCAGGTAATGCTATGTCCAATTTTCTGAGGAACTGCCAGATTGATTTCCAAAGTGGTTGCACCATCTTGCAGTCCCATCAACAATGGAAGAGTGTTCCTCTTTCTCCACACCCTCGCCAGTACAAAGAGACACTATGCACCACATCAGTTTTTATTTATAAGATACAAAAATAGTAAAAACAAACTAGCCTACTTTTTTAAGAGGTATAAATTCCTAGCAGATTAAAAAAAAACAGATCTAGCTTTATTATAAATAAAACCGTTTTAATCAACTTATTTTGAGTGCCCAACTACTCAATATTTGATATTCATGGGTCTTGTAAAAAAAAAAAAAAAAATCAAACCAAAAGATAAAACCAAACCCCCTCTCTGTAGTCTGTCTAATTCCAGTTTCCTTGAGTGCTAATCCATGTAAGTAGCTAGTACATTTCTAGTTTGAAAATTTTCTTTTCTTTTTAAACAAAAACACTTTAATTATAAAGGATGAGTGCTTCCCACATTGGCTAACTTTTCTTCTTCTTCTTAGCACACATTAAAGACCCAGGGTAGTAGCTCACTGTGACCTTGCACACACACACACACACACACACACACACACACACACAGCACACACTTTCATCCCCTCCCTACACACCCACCTCTCACCCTTGCTGCCCTCTCCAACCCCCTTCTCCAACAGACCTTTGAGAAATGAAAGCTCTTAAGGTTTATGTAGCTGAAATGGTTTGCATCTACCACACCATAAGAGAAAGCACTTGACCCTCCAAATCCCACTGTGCTGCACATTCACCGCAGATAACACTGTGGTTTATATACAGATGGGAGGGGAGCAGCAATCTTCAATATGAAAGCAGAAGCTAACCTTTCTGAAAAAATTATTAGTAAGTACGTTACTATTTTGCAAATACTATTAGTATTTGATCAACAACACATCTTTATCATTATGTAAAAGAGAATATATTAAACTATGCTCCTGAGCACATTTTTCTTTAAGAGCTAAAGGATTCAGAACTGATATAAATTTCAGAACTGGAAAAGAATTTAGAGATCTTCAAATCCTATCTTTATGAGTAAAAGAAGGATGCTGAAAAATAGGGTGAAGAGGAGTGGATGGAGGCACCCAGGATCAGAGATCCACCTACGCACTGTGCCCTCATCGCCTCCTATTTTTTAAAGATAATATAGATTCATTTTTATATAGCCATGTCTCACCTGCATGTATGTATGTGTACCATGTGCATGCCTAGAGCTTGCAAAAGACAGAAGAGGGCATTAGGATGTCCTGGAATTGGAGTTACAGATGGCTGTGAACAGCCATGTAGTGCTGGTAACTGAACCTGGGTCTTTTGCAGGAGTGTCTAGTAGTCTTAACCACTAGACCATCTCTCCAGCTCTGTTTTCTGCTATGTCTGAAGAATTGCTTATTCATACATCTTTTAGAGTAGAATAAATTGTCCCAGTATGATGGTTAATTTATAGATCATAAGGACACAGATTTACAAAACTGATAATGGAAACGACATTCGTTGTATAAACAAAGAAGTGACTCCACAAGCATTCCTATAATACCCACTGTCCTTTTTGGTCTCCTCCTGTGAATTGCATGGGTTCTCCCCCAAACTGGCTGACTCCAGTTCTGCTGGACTTATGCTGATTTATGGGCTGGCTACTTCATTCATCCATCTTAGCAGCTTGAGGGTTCCTATAGGGTTAGTATCCAGAAACACTAGGTATGTAAGTCTGTGAAGTCTGTCCTGCTCTTACCAGTGGTCAGTCAGTCCTGACCAGAGCATCACTCCTGTCCCAGAGGCTGAAGTAATTACATGTTTCTGGCATGTAGCAAACACTCAATAAGTTAACTGTGACAAGCATATACATGCTATGTACCAATCTCCTGAGTGACATATTCCTTCCAGAGACTCAGGAGTAAATGAATCTCCCGGTTTCCTCAGAGCAGAACCGTATTCATGAGGATTCACAAGGCTCCCTGAAGGCTGTGGAAATTGCAGACAACTGCCTAGGACAGCACCCTGGTTAGCCCAGCTGCCTGCAGGAGCTGTCCACACCTCATGTTGGGAGCTCCAGGCTTGTAGACTCTGAGCTGTTACCCAGTCTGGGATGGGCTGAGCTGTCTGTGCTCCGGAGTGCTACCCTCACCCATACTGCTCCACATGATCCCAATACCTCACGAGCTAACAAGCTGGGCTTTTGCTTAGCTGCTATGCTCTGCTGTGGGTTCCCTATCTGAGGTGAGTTCATTCGTGTCTCCATAGGAAAAGTCACACAAGAGCATGCAAGAAACATATACTACTTGTGACAGACAGTATTGTTACATCTTGATTTTGCCCACGTTTATTTCATAAACGACACAAAAAACTAAATTTGTTTGGAGATGAGTGGTGTGTTCTCACCCTCTAAGCTTTGGTCTGGGCAGAGATATTAATTGGGTGCATTTTTCTAACAAGCTACATAATCAGCATTCTCTTAACACTACACTTGGGAAACAATGCTCTGCTAAAAAAAAAAAATCTGATGTGGGTTCATATGTATCCCAAACACAGAAAGTTCCTTCTAAAATACATAATAATTTTTATGAATCTCTGGTTTTAAGTATTAAATTGATTTTTTTCATAGAAGAAAAAAGGGTAAAACATCTGTTTTTCTACACAGGAAAACCCTGTTTCAAATCAAAAAACCAAAACCAAACGAATGAACCCACGATCTAGTGAGCATGTACAGCAGTCCAGGCAATTAGAGGAAGCTCATTCCATCCTTGTAATAAGCCCAATAGGAAGGCAGAGCCATTGATCTTCTTTTCACAGACGTACAAACACTACAGCTTAGTGAAGTCTAGTTAACTCAAAATCTTTGCTAGCCTGCCTCTCCCCAAAGAGAATCCTCAGGGTAAGTGTCAGTTTGTGACTACAGAACATTCTGTAAATATGAACACATGTAGAGCTGAAACTAATAACATGTAGTATTCTAGGAATGAAAATACAGACTTACATAGAGGCGTGACCCCGTTTTCCCGCCCACTGTCAGGGCGGCTCTTTTTCCATCATGGTCTTCCTTGGGAGTATATTTTAACACATGACAGTCTTGTACCTGAAAATAAACACAGAACCTGAGCTTGTAACATGATCCACCAGCCATAATGAGTGCCTAAGACAATAAGCATTTCCAGAGTTACTAACTCATTATTCCCTTAAAACCAGCTACAATCTTAAAATACATAAATAAACCTTTGAAACTGTCAAATAGAACACACACAAAAAACTAAGTATACAGCAAAATAAGAACTTTTAAAGAAGAATTATAATCCTAAGACTGTGCCTGACTCCCTAGTCTTCACTCTAGAACAGGGGCTCTCAAACTGTGACTCCAATGAGCGTGAGCATCCCTTGGAAATAAGGCAACAGTGAACCCAGGCCCCAGTCTAGACTCTAAACCTCTGGCTAAGTAAGGGGAGCTGCCTTTTACTCAACACTGTATTCACAAAGCTTACTTTTCTGCTATGTGTAACTCTACTCACTGCCTACAGACTCTATGAACAGGTCATGATTTATTTGCTTTCCACACTAATGGACATTTAGGAAATTCCAGTTCTGGAGTATTGAACATGATGCTGCCTGAGACAGTGTTGAAGAAGAACCATGGTACACACCTTCTGGGACTTCCCAGAGAATCCAGCAAGACAATGACTACAAGGTTTCATAGGTCTAAACCTGACACACAATAATAAATTGCTTCCTGTGTGGTAGTACCAGTCTGCCATTACTGATCCACACTCTCAGACCATAGTTCATGAAGCGGTTACAGGCCCTTGTACCTTGTTAGCACTCTAAGTGTGTATAGCCTATATTTAACCATTATCACACCTCTGAGATTAGACCCCAGACACTGAGCTGTCCAGAATGATCTAGAGTAATGGTCTAACTTCATCTGTCTTTCCCTACAGTGAAAGCAATTGACAGTTCTGAGTCACTGTGCTGTCTTTAGGAGCTGACATCCGTCATCTCTTGTGGTTCTCACTGTAATAGTTTGCAGTGAGGCCTAACAGTTCCTTACAGAATTATATCACTTAGAGAAGATGCTAGTGTACTCAGGAACATAGCGAGTGGCAGAGCCAGGATTTAAACTCAGAGCCTGAGTCCTTAACCACCTAGAATAACTGATCTTGGTGAATAAAATGTGGTTTCCCTAGAAGAAGCAGAGTCCACTCTGACAGTCAGCAAGGAGATCACAATTACAGTCAGGGCCTGAATGAACTATTGTGAACATGATAGGCTGTATTTTCTGAGAATGAATTAAGTGGATGATCTGTGAGGATCTATGCCACCCTACCCTGCCTGGGCATTACTTCAGGCATTACAAACCCATTATGAGAAAACTGGTTTAGGCTAGAATCAACTTTCCTGGAACTATCAGAAGCAAGGCTCTTTACTATTATTTGTTATGTTTTCCTTTACCACACAGTGTTCTGTCTGGGATACACATTTCAACCATTACAGGTTACATACACAGATCTTGGCACATACATATCCCTTATGTGTATATTTCCTTACCTGAAGTAATGTGACTGCATGCTTTTGACCATCTTTGGTCCATAAAGGCATCATGCCCAGCTTCAGGGCGATAAGGCCAACTCTGGAAGAACCTGTGAACAAATATGGTATCTTCAAGACTACTTACAGATGTAAATATCTTCAACTATATCAGGTACAACATACTGGTAGTTAATAAATGTTTGCAAAATGAGCAAATGTAAGATAAGTCTAACATTTCAGTTTTAAAATAACAGTATTAATAACAGTATTACTAAAATAGTATTAATATATATAATTCTATTATTATTCTTTTGTAGTTTCAGATCCTGTCCAGCATTATCAATTAGAAAAAAATCTATTCAAATTCTAAGGCATTAAATGGTATTATATTACATAGATGCCACAAGTTCTCCTCTATTATGCTGTCCTCTATTAAGAACTTTTGGGGCTGGCAATGTAGTTCAGTTGGCAGAGTGCCTGCCTCACAAGGACAAGACCCTGAGTTTGATCTCATGCACAGTATAACCCAGGCTGAGGATATATGCCTACAACTTAGCACTCAGGAGTTAGAGGCTGGAAACTCAGGAGCTCAAGCCAGGCTAGACTTGAACTTAACTCCAGAAAACACACGTTTTAATAGGAAAAGCCCCATCCTGCTTGGTCTGGCCATACATGGGTTTAGAATTCTATCACAGACAGCTGATTCTGGAACTATGCTTGCCCAAACAGCACAAAAGCACCCCAACTGAAAGTAGCTGTACTAACACAGGACATTTTACACTGTATTTTCCAGCCTCTTCTTCCTGGTTTCTACCTTTCATTTTACAATATATGCAGAATGTTTCTCCTCTCACCTACAAAAAACCTTCCTAAGGTTCAAAGCAAAATGAAACAGACATATGCCTCAAGCCATATCGTAATTAAGGGGTCACATCTCAAATCCCTACAAATCACCTGGTTTCCAAGGATGTAAAGGCCATGGTTCATCTTTCAAGGGATTCAGTTTACTTGACAACTGGGCTTTATTTTCATCGGAGATCAGTTGCTTAATAAACGAGACATTTTCTTCAGAAAGATGTTCATCCCACCAAGTACTACTCTTGCTGTGGAGATTTCTAACAAAGAACAAGATGTTCTTTCTGAAAAAAAAAAAAAATCAAATCATTATTTCCATTTAATGTAGGCGAGGCCACAGTTAGATAATGCACTCAAGGCCTCAGGGAATGGTATGGATTGTGTATGTTCCATTACCCCGAAGGCTAAACTTCTCTTCATCCACAATAAACAATCCTACCTAAGCAAATGAGAGGCTACTAACACAAATGAATCTGTATTTGACAGTTTTATAACCAATGAATTTTCAACTAAATTTTCTCTAAGTATACTCCGCTGCCTGTAAAAGCATCGCCAATGTTAAGAAACTAAATATGCAGAGTTTTAAAAACAAAACTAAAAACCACAAAACACACAACCTCTGTCCAGCTAATGCACCAAGAAGGAGCTTAGTAGGCTTGAGGCAAGGAAGGAAGTGTGTTTAATTTTTGCACAGGGTGGGTCAGAACCTCAGTAAAGCGTTGTGCAGTCTACTTTCGTTGGTAGTCAGGAAGTTCCAGCTTAGAATCGCAAGTGATTTTCTACTTATTAGCTGAGTGACTTTGTACAACCTATTGCCCTTTAGTTTCAGTTTTATCTGAAAAACTGTTACGTTATGACAGTGGTTTGCTCACTAGGGGCTACAGGACACAGGTCCAATATACGACACAACACAAACACGAGGTCTAGTGCAGTACTCGATGGTTGGAAGACATTCTTGCTGCTAACAGTCGTAGCTAACCCCTAATTTCTTGACCATTAAAAAACACCACCCCTTCAAGATTAAAAGACGGTTTCTTAATTACTATGCTACACTCTTGAACACACGTCCCCTTCCGCTTCTAACCCTCTGCGCCAAGCCAAGTCTCTGTTCAAGGACACAGTTATGTGGGCGGCGCACCCCGCCACCCTGTCTTTTGCCCATACCCACCTACTCCCTAAGCCTGGGGCAGCACCTAGGCCTCCGGCGCCACAGCCCAGCACCGGGGTGCCAGCCTGAGCTAGCAGCCTCCAACCCCGCATGGAAGTGGTCGGGTAGGACTCAGGTCACGCCGCCGCGCCGCCGCGCCGCCGCGGAGCTTTCAGCAAGTCCCCAACACAAATACCACGAGTTCGCACTAGCTGCGGGACACCAGTCACACCGTTTGTCCGCCAATGCCCTCCGCGGAGGTAAAGCACAGCCGAGCCACTTCCGGTCCGTTTCTCAATGTGTTCCGGGTATAGACTCGATACCTGTAACTATGGTTCCGTCTCCAAGTGGCCCTACGTTGCCAATGGATTAGACGATTGACTCTTTAGCGGCGGCAGAGAAAGTATTGGGCTTTAAACTTTAGAAGAACGAGACAAGAAATATGAAACTTTCTTTGGAAACTAAAGAAAGAGAAGTCACCTCCAGTAATGCCCACTGTGGGAAAGCTCACTGTGCTAAACAGCATTTTAGCAATTTTATAGTGGTTAATCCTAAGAGTAGCCCTTTAGAGAAGTTATTTCTATATTATAAATGAGGGAACAAGTACTTAAAATTTATATGCATGCTCAAAACAAATGGGCAGAGTTAACAATGAAATAGGACTGATGTATGTTAACAATGGAATGGGGCCAAAACAAGCAACCAAAACAACAACAACGACAACAACAACAACAACCCCAAAGGAAAATAAAACCCCAAACTCGACAGCATACAACTTTCAGAGCTGAGGCATAAACAGTCCCAGGCTGTTCTTCAACTCATGAAGGATCTTAATCCTGAATTGTCTAGAGAGGCTGCTCATGGAGTTGAGATCCGGTGCAATTGAAGGAAAAAGTATTACCACAAAGTTTCAGAATGATTGTGATACAGCTAGTATCATATCTTCTATGCCCCAGGTCCGTCCCAACTTGTATGTGCTAGACATTCATTTTTCTACTTCAAAAGTTCCTTCCCAGTCACATGAGTGTTTTTGGAAAAGCAGAAACAACAAGTTGGCCTTTTGGCTTC